CATTCATCCAAGTTGTTGCAGGTATTAACACTTCATTTCTTTTTATTGTTGTCTTTTGAAGGACATGTGGATTGTTTCCAGTTTGGGGTTATCTCTATTAAAGTAGGTATGAGAAACTATATCAGATTTTTGTGTAAAAATACTTTTTCCTTTCTCTGTGATAACTGTCCAAGAGTGTAATTTCTGGGTCACATGGTACTAGCATGCTTACTTTTTAAAGAAACTGACAAACTATTTTCCAAGGTAGACATACCATTTTGTTTTCCTACCAAAACTAGTATATACTTCATCCTTGCTAGTATTTGTCATCATCACTATTTTTTATCTTAGGCATTCTGATATGTAGGTGATGGTATCTCATTATGGATTTAACTTACATTTTCCTAATAATGGTGCTGAACATCTTTTCTTGTACTTACATGCCATCTGTATATTCTATTTGATGAAATGTCTAATGATGGGGGGTTTTGCCCATTTTCTAATTGGATGTTTTACTGTTGAGTCTTGAAAATTCTTTATAATTCTAGATACTGGTCCTTTACTAGAAATGTGGTTAGCAAATATTTCCTAACAGTCTATAGTTTGTTTTTTCATCCTCTTTAACAGGTTCTTTTGCAGAGAAAAAAAAAAAGCTTAATATGGATATAATCTAAATTGTCAAATTTTCTTTATGGATTATTCGTTTAGTGTGAAGTGTCTAAGCTATCTTTGCCTAGCCATAGATCCAGAAGCTTTTCTCCTATTTTTTTTTTCTGAAGGTTTTATGGCTTTACAATCAAGTTAATTTTTGTATAATGCATGACACTTAGGAAAAGGTTTATTTTTTTCCTGTGGACATCCACTTTTTCCAGTATCATTTGTCACAAAGATTTTCAGTCTTTCATTGCTTTTGCACCTCCGTCAAATCAGTTTGTGTGGATCTCTGTGTGATCTATTCTGCTCCAGATCAGTGTGTCTCTGTCTCCACTAACAGCCCACAGTGTTGATTACTATATCTATATAAAACTTGAAATAAGGTACACTGATAACTTTCAACATTATTCTTCTTTTTCAAAGTTATTGTAGCTTAATGTTGTATTTGCTGTTAAGTAGAATACAATTTGCTAGGATCAAATGGCTTTAAACATACTTAAAAGTAGATATCTTTTACTTATTCCAGTAATTCAGCTGTTATCCCAACTTAGATATTTGATTACTGATCTAATACTTTTCCTCTTTCCTAAAGTATACATTTAGTGCTATAAATGTCCTCCTCAGCATTGCTTTACATGTGGTCCACAAATTTGATATGCTGTACCTAGAAAACGCAAAAGAATGAAGGTCTCTTTATCTAGCCATAGTTTTGTTTACTGCAAACTTTCTTCTTTCCCAGTGCTCCAAAAATCTTTTTTTTTCCTTACTGATTAGAGCTCTTCCTTTGGCCATGCTTTCAGCGTAGGACAAAATCTCTTAGTTTTCTTTAATCTGAGACCATCTTTGTTATGGTTTAGATATAAAGTATTCCCCAAAAGCTCATGTGTGAGATAATGCAAGAAAGTTTAGAGGTGAAATGATTGGGTGATGAAAGCCTAAACCTAATCAGTATATTAAGCCTCTTGAATGGATTAACTGGGTGGTAACTGTAGGCATGTAGAGTGTACCTAGAGGAGGTAGGTCACTGGGCATGTGCCTTTGAGTTCATATTTTGCCCTTGGTGAGTGGAGCTCTCTCTCTCTCTCTCTCTCTCCCTGCTTCCTTGTTGCCATATTCTAATCTGCTTTACTCCTCCACATCTTTCCACCATGACTTTCTGCCTCACCTTGGGCCCAGAGCAATGGAGTTAGCTATCTATAGACTGAGACCTCATAAACCTTATGAAACGATAAGCCACAAATAAACTTTACCTTGTTTTTGTCAGTGTTTTGGTCGCAGAAGTTAAAAAGCTGACTAAAACAGTCTTGATTGCCCTTTCATTCCTGAGAGATAATTTCATGGAAACAGAATTGAGCAGACAATTATTTTCTTTCAGCACTTGAAAAATGTTGTACCAATAACTTTTGACCTGCTGGGTTTCTGATGAGAAATCTATTGTCATTCAAGTTGCTTTCCCTTGTAGGTAACATTATTTTTCTACTTTTGAGATTTTTGTCTGTAACTTCAGTTTTCAGACGTGTAAATATTAAATGTCTTGTCATGGATTTCTTCAGTTTGGGATTCACTTGTCTTCTTCAATTTTATATATTCTTCAATTTTATATTCAGATTTATATTTCTTATCAAATTTGGAGACTTTTTAGCCACTGTTTGGTTGAGTACTTTTTCAATCCTGCCTTATCTTTTCTCTCCTTCCAGGATTGTGATGACATAAAGATTACATTTTTTTTTTGTTTAATTTCAGAAGTTCCTAAAAGTCTATAGATTTTTGTTTTGTTTTGAATTTTGTCAGCCTAGTTTCTCTTCTTCACTTGAGGCCAGTCTTATTGTTCAATCTTTGAGTTCATTGATTCTGTCCCCTAGGTTCTCCATTAAGCTGGGGAAACCATCCACACAGTTTTTATTTCAGTTATTGTATTTTTCAGCTTGAAATTTTTCCTTTGGTTCTTCTGAGACTTTTTACTTCTCTGCTAAGACTTTCTATTTTTTCTCATTTTTCAAGTATGTTCATAATTATTTACTAAAGCATTTTTGAGGGCTGCTTTAAAGTTTTTGTCAGATAATCCAAACATCTCAATATTGGCACCTACTGATTTTTTTTTTTTTTTTTGAATGAAGGTGTTCTTGGTTCTTGGCATGAGAAGCAATTTTTCTATAAAAACTTGAACATTTGAGGTATCATTAAAACTCTGGATCTTATTTAAATTTTATGTTTTAGGTGTCTTCCTCTGACACTACTTTACTAGAGCACTGGGAGTAGGGCAGGCAATGCCTCATTACTGCCAGGTAGGGATAATGATTCAGGTTCCTCATTCAGCCTCCACTACTCCACTAGCATCAGGATTGGGGGCCTCTTTGTTACTGTTGGATGGGAAAATAGGAGTTCTGATTCCCTATTAGGCTGCTGTTGACACCATCCTGGTTGGAAAGAATAGAAGTACCTCATTACTTACCCTTATTATTATCTCATTATTATCTCATTACCCTTACCATCTCTAGTGACACCACAGGGAATATAGAAAGGATGGCCTTTTTTTTTTCTAGTTGTATACGAAGTGTATTCAAGAATGGCCTTTTTATTGCTGTACATTGTTCAAAGTTTGGACCCTCCACTGACATCAACCCTTCTTAATTTGGGTGACCAAAGTACCAAAAACAAAAAAAGGGTACAAATGAATATTTTAGCAGAATAAAATTTGCTTTCTAATATTCATTATTTATTTGATGTTCTTCCTTCATATACCCCAATTCCATCTGAGTCCTCCAAAATGTATTCTTTCTTATGGGCCTTTACCCTGCTATACAACTTTCCTCAACTGTAGAGGACCTCTGAGCAAGTTTCTAATACCAGCCCCTCTTTATGTCTAGTACCTTGACTATGCCATAAAATATATAGCCCATCTGAAAAGAATACTGAGGCCTTTCTCCTCTTTGCTAAGGCCCTTCAGTTGGGCATTCTTAATTCCTTTTCCAAAAAGATTTGCAAAAAAAAAAAAAATCTAACTAGAAAAACGCCATTTAAAAAGGCTCCAGAAGGAGTCGTGCTGTTCTTGTGCAAAAAGGGGGGGGGGGGTCTTAATTCAGAATACTTGCGATATTCTGGTCAAAGATGACACTAGAGACTGTAGCTCATATATGTTTTTGTTTCTCTTTATGATCATGTTCCTCAAATCACAGCCAAGAGTGTATTTGGGGGATGAAACTGTTTCAAAGACATCATTTGGTGGCAGTATTCTTTGTACAACAATAGATTTGAGGCTGCAGCCAAAAACAGAAGTAGAATCTTCTTCCCTCTTACTATCATTGCCTTTGTCATTCTCAAATAGTCACTCTGAGTCTCTCTCTCTCTCCTTCCCCCCACCTCCCTTTAGTGTGGGACTAACGTTCCCTTGTTACTATTTGCTTTGAATGCCCCCACCAGAGCAAAGTCTATATAATCGACAAAATATCTTAAACTTAAATATGACCCTATCTAACTCTTCCTCTGGGGGACATATCATAGTTGACAAATGGGCCTTCCTGGAAACTATTTCAATGTAGTCTTTACCAGAAGACAACAGGTGGAATTCCAGCTCTACCATGCTTTAGCTGTAGAATCCTTGTGCCAATTCTTCAGTCTTACTAAAGCTAGAAGGCCTCTTAAATAAACCAGGACTTTTACTGGTATCTATCTACCTGATGTTGTTATTATTAAGAAAAAATGCACATAAAGTATGTCCCATAGTACTTTGCACACAAGAAGCAAGTCTAAGTCTTTATAATTGGAGAAACCTAGGAAACACATTTTTAAATGCTTCAAAAGAACTGTTTTCACTGAAAATACAGAATTCTTATCAGTTAAATTTCTTAATTGTAGCATATTGATCTCCTTAAGATAAAAACTCACCTTTACTGTACTTCATTACTGATAAGGCTAAACAAACAGAAAAAGAGAAAGTTTTTCATATGAAATGCCTGTTATTTCATTACTAAATAATCACAGTTTTTGAAAGTGAAGGTAACTTGTGATTTATTATTCCAGTCTTTAGCTAATATAATAATCTTTAGACCAGATTTTGGAATAATTTCCCATATTCCTTCACTTCAAAAAGAAGACACACTCCTTGAAGGAGAATTCAAAATTCAAATGAAATACAAAGAAGATCAATAATTCTACAGTGTTTCGTTAGAAAACATCATATAGGATGAAATATTATATGTAATGAAATAACATGTATCCTAAATAGTGTATTCATCAACAGCTTATATAGAATATATGGAATAGATATATAGAGAGATTTATCTATAAAGAGAGATCAGTACATATATCTCTCTCTACTAAAAGTTGTTTTACCCAGGAAAAACATAACCGTCGTTCTGGTCACCTACTTCCATTTTTATGTCGTAGTTCTGGCCCAGGATGCTCTGTATGAGCTCTCTGATGATCTGGTCAGAGGCCAGCTGGGCCTCCGACTGCAGCGAGGTGATGACCTCCTCGATGGTTCTGGGGATCACTCTGGTGGGCAGCAGCTCAGGCTGGGCGACCTCCTGCACATCCCTAAGCAGGCCACTCTCCCACACTGCTTTGGAAATGGACCCATCTGCCTCCGACCCCCTGGGGACTGAGCCCTGGCTCATGAAGTGAGCGCGAATCTTTACTCTCCTCCGCCACCAGCCCGCCTCCCAGTCGCTGTCCTCGCTGGAAATGGAGCTGGTCTTCCTGTCTTTGGCCCTCTGGGCCTCTGAGAACTGAGTAATCTCCTGGTTTGCTTCTTGCTCCTCTGCCAGGTCGACGCCCCGCCTGGCCGCTGCGGCCCGCGGGCTCCGGGGACTCAGGCGCGCTCTTGACTTCCCCAGGGACGTGGGCAGTGGCCGCAGGACCACAGGTTTAGATGTGCCGACGTCCGGAGTGATGATCGGCGGTATCTTCTGGATCCTGTACCGCAGGAACGCGGAGCTCCGCAAGTAAAATTCCTGGGGACGAAATGGTCTGGTCTTTCGCACAGCGAAAGCCTCGCTGGGGCTCGAGGGGCGCGCTATCCCTTGGAGCGCCTCCTGCAGGAAGACCCCAGCAGCCGTCGCAGGGACTTTGGCGGGAGGGGACCCTTTGGAAAGGGTTCTGCGAGGCGTGAAGGAACCGCTCCTCTTCTCCCCAGGGCGGGCCGGACGGGGGTGGTGGTCTAGTCCTTCATTTGAAGTCAGGTTAGACGCCAACTTCTGCTTGAATTTGAGCAAGTCCTTTATAGCCTCCTGGCGAACCTTCTCGAGCTCTTTAAACAGGAGGGATTCTTCTCTGGATTTCAGTCCAAAGTGCTTTTTGAAGGTGGACATCTTGACAAATTTGACCTGTAAAATACCCCCAACACATTAAAACACACACACACACACACACATACGCACACACACAAAAAAATTTATATATTTTTTTTAAACAAATTTTTGTTAATACATAAAATTCCAGTTTAGCAAAACTGCTCATGATAGGGCCTCGTTGTGCTCCTTAGGCAAAACTGGATGAAATGATTTTACATCCACCTACCCTCTTTTCACATGAATCATGAAAACGCTCTAACGCAGTAATGTTTTTCAGTAGGAGTTTCCCAAGCCCCTCTTGGATCTATTTTAACATTTCTTTGGACTATAATGTGGAGTTCTACTTCCAGGGAAGGAAAAACCTGCTAGGCATAGAAAATCTCAAGTAGCCCAGCTCACAGAGAACAAACCTCACCGACTGACCTGTGGCCTAGGTCCAGCCCACAAACATGGTTTTCAATTGTCCAGTTTTTAAAAAATGTTAATTAATAGCCAACGATTTTAAACTGGGAGATTTTTACATAAAAATCCAGATTTGCAGTTTCAGAGGGCTGGGGAGGGCCGGTGGTGGTACTGGTTCTGGCAATACAAGGGCCAAATGCCTGCTCTTGTGGCTGATAGCTGTTCCCAGGTTCTTCTCTAGCAGGTCCCAGGTGTCTCCCTCCCTTACCCAGCCCACTTCCCTCAATGTGCCACCTGTGCTATAGCGGAGTATACAGAGGGAGGTGGTCAGCCTCAAGGTTGAGTACAGACAAATTATAAGCCTTGGATGCTGAATATTTGTACTTTTTCTGTGAGCTACAGAGAACCACTCAAAAATTTTAGAAGAAAAGTGACTTGATAGGGCCTGGTGCTTGGGGATATTGATATGGAGTAAATGAAACAATACAGGCAAGAAGGGCACTAACAGCCTCTGTAGCTTGAGCCTTTCCTAGGCTTAAAAATGGAGCAGAGTGAAAACAGAAACATTACCAGGTAAAACTAGTAAGGCTTGCCAATGATTAGGAATAAATAGGAACAACTAAAGCTCCTTCATAATATAGGGACTTCAAGAGGCTGGGAATGTAATTAAGTGATCCAGTGTTTGCCTATTATGCAGGAGGCCCCGGGTTAAATCCATAGCACTGAATAATAATAATAATAATTAATAATAATAATAATGACTTTGAATCATCATGATGAAGTCTTAGTCATAATCAAATACATAATAAAATTTGTTATTCATGAACTGTGCACTTCAAAATGGTTAAGAAGGTAAATTTTATGTTATATATTTTACTATTTTTTTAAAAAAAAAACAATTTATTCAACAAAACTAGATATCTAGGATCATAAGTGGATTCTGAGATCTTGAAAGCCAGGCTAACAGGAACTATAAAAAGAGAAGGAGCCGATGACAGATTCCATGGCTCAATTACCTATGCAAGGTGAAAGTGCTAAGATCAGAAAATTAGGAAAATGAAAAGAATAGAATTCCCCAGAAGCCAAGAAGAGAGTGTTTCAAGGAATAGGAGTAAAACAATGAAAATAAAAACAGAAATCAATGAATCAGCCAGTAACTTTTTTTTTTTTTTTTTAGAAAACCCAAGACCAAAGTCCTTTGAAACACAAAATTAAAGTATTGGGCTGGGGATGTGGCTCAAGCGGTAGCATGCTGGCCTGGCATGCGTGCGGCCGGGGTTCCATCCTCAGCACCACATACAAACAAAGATGTTGTGTCCGCTGAAAAACTAAAAAATAAATATTAAAAAATTCTCAAAAAAAAAAGTATAAACACCTTCAGAATATCATATCACTTGCAGATATGATTATTCACCTAGAAAACCCAGGTACTAAAAACTATTTTGAACTATAATAGAGTACTGTAAGGGATTTAAATTTTTTTAATTATATAAAAATTAATAGCTTCCTTTATACCAAATGGTCCAATTAAAAATATGGTAAAAATTCACTTACAATTTTTTAAAAGAGCAAAGAGACAAGTATCTGGGCATAAACATAACAAGAAATGTACTAAAACTAGATGAATAACTTTTGAAATTGAATTCAATTTTTTATTGAAGTACATAAAAGACTCAACTACATAGACAATATTCCTTGGTGGAAAGACCAAATAATTATATCAGGTCTTCCCAAAATACTGTATTGGTTTATTACCAATATGAAAATCTAAAAATTACATTTTGGAATTTGAAAAGTAATTCTGAATTCATTTGAAATAATAAATATGACAAATTAGCCAAAGATATGAGAAAGGAAATAACGCAATACTTGTTCCTCAATTAGGGAGCAACAGATCATTAAAACTTATGCAGATATAAGAATTAGAACCAGAACACCGCTGCTAGAATCAATAAGCTGAGAGAAAAAGAAATTAAATAATATAAGTTATATTATTAAGGCTGCATTCAGTTGGTGATAAAAGAACTGTTCCATAAGTTTTGCTGAGGCAATTGGTTGACTATTTTGGAAAAGAACTACACCTCATTTTCTACTAGGTGCCAGAATAAACCCAGATAGATTTAAAACTTACATGTGTCAAATATTTTATTTTGTTTTGCATTTCTTTGCTTATTACTTATCCACATTTTATGGTTGGATTCAGATCAATTGATGAAAAAGTTCTTAGTTACAATGGGAATTCTTTATTTATCATGTAGTTTTGGTAATATGAATGTTCTATTTGTCCTCCAAATAGTCATATTGCTTTAAATTTCTAAAATATGAACTTGTAATTCTCAAACTGAAAACTATGTTACATGATAAAGCTCTCATCTTGGAACCAGTAGGCTGTCTTTCTTTACCCAGCTCCACCACTGACTGGACCATGGACAATTTAATTCTGTCCATGCTGTGGAATCATATTAAATAGTGAAAAAACAAATAATCCATTGCCTGTTGTCCAGACCATAGGATATGAACATTAGAAATGAGTTCTAAAGGCTATGAGGAAGTTTCCTTATTTTAAAAATACTATATAATCCTCCTCCTACTATTTTAGCTGTTACTCTTTGTACAGGTGGCAGTATGTTCATGCAGACATCATCTACATTTCTTCTTGCAAGATCCTGAAAATTAATGGAACAGAGCACAGACCAGAAGTACTTTATACCTGATGAGAGTCTGACTTGACTTTCCCAACTGCACTTCCCATTTTATTTCTTAGTTCCTGCTTTGGATGACCAACTTCTCCCAGGCCCTTAATTTGCTATTGAAGTTTAACAAGTGTCTATTGTTTAACACTTCTCACTACATTCCCATGAGTTCCTTATAGGAAAGTTGTTATATATATCGACCTATATTTCCTATAGGTTGATTCAT